GATATTCAAGTTGACCGAGATACAAGCCCCGGCTCTATCACTTAATAACATAAAATGTTCTGTCTCATAAAACAAACACAATAACTTCTCTACGGTTTTCTTGTAAAGATTAAAATAAGATGATGTATGTAAAGGGCTTAGTACAGTGCCTGGCCTGTAGCAAACCTTCAATAAATGACAACTGCTCAACATTTATTCAACAAATATTGAGCACTTAGTTCAATACACTGATAGATATGCTGCTAGAGATGTAATGGTTAAAAATAAAAAAAATAAATAAAAAGTGACTAAAACACAAAAAGATGGAGAAAATTATATTAGTCCTATGACTTTTAAAGAACCTCAAACTGTAATTAAAAACATTCCCACAAAGAACACTGCAGGCCCAGATGCCTTCATCAGAAAATTATACCAAATATTTAAGGAAGAAATGAGAGAGTTACGTAAAACTTAACAAAAACAGGAGGGGAAAAAAGAGAACATTTTCAAATTCATTTATGAGACTAACACTACCTTAATATGAAACCTGCCAATGACATTATGAGGACAATTATAAGCTAATCTTATGTATGAATATAGATGCAAAGGTTCTAAACAACGTATTAACAAACTTAATCAGAATTTTACAAAATGGACAATAAATCATGACCAGGTCATATTTATCCCAGAAACATAAGGTTGGTTTAATCAAAATAATTCAACACAGCAACAAATAAAGGAGAAAACTTATATAATCTTATTACAGAATAAATACATAAAAATCATTTGGTAAGATTCAACATGCAGTCATTATTCTTTAAAAAAGAAACCTTAGCAAACTAAAAAATGAAACTTTCCTTAATCTGATAAAGAATATTATAAAACTCCACACCAAAACCTATATTTCATGATGAACTGTTGAAAGCTTACTCCTTGAGTTCTGGAACAAGACAAATTGCTTACTCTGACCACTTCTACTGTATAATGCTTTGGAAGCCCTAGCCAGTAAGAATGGCAAAAAAAAAAAAAAAAAAAGAATCAAAATGTGTAAGGTTTAAAAAAAAATAAAACAGTCATTCATAGATAATATGGTTATAACGAAGAATTCCAAAAGAATTTAGATAAATTATTAACATTAATAAGTGATTTTAGCAAGTTGCTAGATACAAGATCAACACACACACACTCTATATAGACCTGTGACAAACATAAAAACTTTTAAAAGAACTATATCACTTACAATAGTTCCAAATAACCATAAATGAATCTAACAAAAAAAAATAAAAGACCTTTGTTCAGAAACTATAAAATATCAATGAGAGGAATTAAAGATGACCTAAATAAATGGAGGGCTACTCCATGTTCATGTATTGAAAGACTCAACTTTGTAAAGAGTCAATTTTTCCCCCCTAATTATCTCTAGATCCAATGCAGGCTGAATCGCAACTGCAGCAAAATATGCCTTTTATTTATTTATTTATTTCATATTTTTTTACACCTACAGCATCTGGTCTTCCTACGCGGTCTCTCATTCAAGTACTAACCATGCCCGACCCTGCTTAGCTTCCCAGATCAGACATCAGGCTTGTTCAGGGTGGCATGGCTGTAGACCATGGACTATGGCTCCACTGGGGCACGAACCCAGGACCTTGTGCGTGTAAAGCAGATGTGCTAACCGCTATACTATGGAACCACATCCCATTTTTGTGAAAATTGACAAGCTTTTGTACTAAAACGTACATGGAAATGCTAAGAGAAAAGAATCAAGGGAAAAGAATCACCAAAGCACTCTTGAGGAAAAAGAACAAGGAGAGAACAGTCTCTGCTAGATATTAAGACCTATAAACTAGAGTAATTAAAATAGTGTGGCGTTCATGCCAAGATACATAAATACACTAAAGGAACAGAACAGAGAGCTCAGAAACAGACTTCCACATACATGGGCACTATATAACAGAGCAGACGCAACTGGAAATCCACGTAAAAGAGAAAAACGTAACTCTATACAAAAATCAATTCCGGGGAGGGAATGATCTAAATATAAGAAGCAAAAAAACCCAAAAGCTCAAGAAGTTAATATAAAAACATTTTTAATTACCAAAGAGTATGGAAAGATTTCTTAAATAGAAGACAAAAAGTACAAACCATGGAAACACAGAAAGAAGGAGACTATATCAAAATTAAGAACTTCTGTTCAGCAAAACACACCACTGAGACAGTGAAAAGGCAATCCACAGAGGATAACAGATATTTGTAATACATATCTATAACTAAAGGGCTTATACCAAAATATACAAATAACTCCTACAAATCAGTAAGAAGACAAACAAATCAAAAGGAAAAATGAGCAAAGATGTTACTTATGAGTAACATCCTAATGGTCAGCAAACATCATTAGCCATCAGGGAACCCCCTATTAAAACCACAATAAGATCCCACCCTACATGTGCCAGAATTTCTTTATAAAATTAAAGACTGCCGAAAGCTTCTATAAATAAGAAAATAGAGAATTGGGACCTCTTATACACTGGTAATTAGTCTGTAATTTGGTACAACCACTTTGGAAAACCATTTGCATATACTAAATTTAAATATCTATATACCTTCAGGCTCAGAAATTCCATTTCTACATATATACCCAACAGAAATGCATGCACATGTGCAACAAGAGTCTGGAAACACCATTCACCTCAATGTCCATCAATAGTAGAATGGATAAATTGTATATATGCATACACTGGATTACAATATTGCAATAAAAATAAATGAACTAAGTCATAAAACTTACATAACGTCAAGCAAAAAAAGCCAGACTCAAAGGAATATATACTCTGTACTTCCCTGTATAATGTTTAAAAAAGAATTAAGTAAAACCAATGATGGTGTTTAATGATGCACACTTACAGAGATATATCGCAAAATCAGGTTATCTTTGGTGATGGGGGGAAGGGTAGCAGTTGGAAGGGAGCACAAGGTAGACTAATGAAGTACTGGTGAGATTCTATTTCTTGACCTGGTTGAAAGGTACATGGTTATTTGTGTCATGAAAACTCACTGAACCGTACATTTTTGGTTTTTACACTCTGCATGTGATACATTTCACAATTTAAACATTTTTAAAAGCACATTCAAATTAAATCTTTCAAAACATGTTGTTTTTATGATTTTTAACACTAAAGTTTAACATTATAAAGTCCTTAAGGCTAGAAGTATTAAATTTCATAAAATCATAAACAGAACTTTTTCCAATTATATATGTGCTGGTCTCTCAAATAGTATCAAGAAATAGTAAATACTACACCAGAGGAATGTACATAATGAGCTATGTAAATATTCTGCCTAACAATTTATATGCTAACATATTATTCCTACAGATGTTATTATTCTATAGCTAAATGTTGAATGTTTCTTCTAAATAATTTTTTTAAAAAGGTCAACCAAAATCACTTATTAATCTTGGCAACTATAACACTATCATAATAACTTGAAAAGTTAAATTTCAAATGAACAGGAAGATTTGATCCCCCTTTAATATTACAGTTTATTCAAAAATTCAATATACTCCTTAACACAGTTCTTTTCATACTTTTTTCACCATCTGATAGTGGAAAAATTAAGTTTCTTATTATGCATGTTTTCCATTTAGATAAAAATGTTAACCTGTTGAAAAGTACATTAGAGTCACAAATGACCTGAGATTTCTTTTAGGAAGTAAAGAACGGAAAGACAAGAGGACATTACAAGATAACCTATCTAACACTCCCAGAGCCAGTCTTTCTCTGATTGATGAATAAAAACTGATAGCAACAGAATGCCACATTTTAACAATTTACTACTTTAGAAAGATAATTATATAATAGGTAATTATATATAACTATATGTAATTATGTAGTTGTAACTATAGTTACCTTAAGAAATAAAAATCAATAAGTAGCATATACATTATGGGTAAAAGATATATAAAAGTAATTCATATAAGAAATATTCACAGAAAAAAATAAGAAGGGTCAATAAACATATGAAAAGATGCTAAACAATAATAATTAAAGAATGTTAATTAAAATATAACATTTTCCTATCAATTGGCAAAAATGAAAAAGATCAAGGATATCCAATGTTGATAAGGGCATGGAAAAATAAAAGTACTTACATACTAATGGTAGGAGTATAAATTGGTACAAACTTTTTGAAAGGCAACTTGATAGTATCTATAATTTTATCTAAAATTATATATAAATTATCTCTAAAAATTTAAACACATACACCTACCCTAGTACCCAGCAATCCATTTTTAAACTCTATCCTTAGTAAAAGTGTATAAATATATACTTATAAGGATATTTATTATAGCACCAGTATGGGAGAATGAATAAGTAAATTTTCATATATACGTACAATGAATTACCTAGCATTCATTAAGTGCAGAATATCCTTGTTACTAATTTGGAAAGGTGTCTAAGATGTATTACTAAGCAATAAATATAAGTTGCATAAAAATATATATACCATCTATTTTTATTTTTGAAAAAAACTATACATATGTATATATGTAAGCACAGAAAAAAAGCTGGCAAGTATATACAAC